GCAACAACCACAGAACTAAAATCACCATCAGCTCAGAGTGGAACAAGCATCTGTGCCAAATACAATGACAGGTCTTAATCTCATGTTCAAAGGTATTGGAGGTAACAAATTTTCCTTCAGAAATTCAAAGGGAAATTGTACATATTCCAAAACAGAATGTACTTGTTCAAAACAGACTGTGAGCATGGAAGGGAGGAGATAAAGAAGTCTTTTGAGCAGCCAAACTCTACTTCGACATCTCAGAACAATATTATCTCCCTCAAGGAATGGGGGTTTTGTTATTATATAACAATATTTTTGTTACTTATTTGTTATATTGATTTTGTGGGGAGGGGTACTTCGGTTGTTTTGGTTTTTGTTTGTTTGGGGTTTTTTTGAAAAGAATTTGCTTCATGAGATGCAAAACTTGAAGAATCTTTCCAAATAAAAGAGCTTCATAAGCAGATTACAAGAATGTATTACCTTGAGCTATTAAAAGTTACAAGATTTTCAGTTCCATAGATCAAGGTTTCTCTGAAAAGCCTAACTCTCCAACCTCTTCCCTAAGAAAGCATGAGGTTGGGGTTTTTTTGTTGTTTGTTTTTCTAAACTGCAATACTTAACCCTGACTTTTTTTGCTTAAAACTTCTTAATTGAAAAAAAATGTTTTTTTCCTAATCCATATAAAAGTTTACTATGTTTATGTAGTAATTCCCTCCACCTTATGATTCTGTATTATCTATAATAAAAAAAAGCAACCCTTCCCCAAACTCCCAAAGGTTTTCCAAGCCCTTAGTCCACAGTTCAACTGAAAGTTTCACCGTTACAGATTAAGGTCACAGACAAAATACAACTTTTGTTTCTTGAAGGAAATCTACAGGAATTATTGCTCCCTCCCTGTTGCCTGCATGTCCGTGAAATACAAATGGGTTCAGAGAACTTTAACAGGGATAATGAAGAAGATCCAGTCCCACAAAGTGATAGGAAGTACCTAGATACAGAACACAGATATGGGTAGGGACTGCACAGATACCAACTTAAACCAGCACAGCAAGACGTAGCTGCTTTTTGCCAAAATTTATGTTTGACTGCAGTTTTAATAATTCAAGATAAAGCATAAGGATCAGGGTAAACTGAAGATTATTCAACATCAGGAACAGCCTCTACAGCCTTCATAAACCAGGAGAGATAGTGCCAAGATACAGTGCACGAGACACCCCTCATGCTTCTGAAGTGCTCAGTTCAGAGAGTGCTCGGTTAAATCAGCCTCCAACAAATCAACAAATTATTCACCTTTTTTTTTTTTTTTTAAATGTGCTTTTCGACTATACAGAAAAAAATATGCAGCTTGAACTAACTGTCCATACCTTTCCTATTTCAGGCTCCTAAACGCTGAGTTGCCAGATAGCATGTGTGTAGACGGTGTTATTTAACCCACAGATCCTGCACAGGCATACACCCAGAGCAGGTCCAAGAAAAGCACTCAGGAGCCCGTAGAGGTGAAAATTGAAGCCCACACTAATCAGATAGAAGCAGAAGAACCCCGGTTCCATATCACTAGCTCTACCTGGTAGCAAAGGCATGGTGGTTAGACCAGCTGATGGTGAAGCAAAAACGAAACAAACTATAGAAAGCCTAGAAAGTGGATGCTTGAGTAACTTAAATGGGGAACAACAGGGCAGGGGAAAAAAGTGAATGAAAGTACCATGGAGCCCAAACCTTTGTTTAAGAGGCACTTCAATTAAGATATGAAACGAGAGATGAAGGATGACCATATCCCTTAACACGAATGATGAATCCATCCAGTGAACGCCATTCTGAAAATAAGCCTTTCTCACTATACATTTCCCAGCCTGTAGGGGGATTTGAGTTGATCCTAACCACCAGAAAGCAAGTCAAGCTGTTCTTTCAAAGTGCTGCCTCGAGAAGCTGCTTCTGAGAAGCGTGAGTCTCTTCCTGCTACAGTGAAGATCTGAAATTCATGGTGAAGAAAAGTTCGAAGCCAAGTCCAAGATTTTAAGGGCATGACAATAAAGTTGGAGCACACGTGCGTACGGTAGCAATGGCCAGAGCTGTAAGAAATACAGGGGTCTGCAAAAGTTTTGTGGCTTCACTCCCATAAGGATCAAAACTGAAATAGAAGAGCTGAACCAAGCAGGAACTTTCTGCTAATGGAAACTCAACTAGGGGAATACCGTTAGTTTGTCTACAAAGAAAGATGCTCCTTAGGAATTAAGAGTGTTTTCAGTTAATAGCTTATCCATCAAGCCCAGGATTTCAAAAGATCTTCAAGGACAAAATACATAAAGGAAAACTGGATCGCTCCCCTTTTGAATTCTACCTACTGCATTTTGCTAAAAGACCTCTTTGGGTAAGAGCGTTTTTGTATCTGTATTAACATCCTCTCCAGAAGCAAGTAACAGAAAGATGCAACCATTTTCCTCTCAATGCCATGACTGATAGCTATTTTTCTTGCATCCTTCTAGACACAAAACCAGAATATATTTTTTAAACAATTAATGTACGTATTTATGTTGGAAAATGCTGCATAGATGAGGTGATTTATTATAGAGTGGTGCATTTTTTCATCAAAATTCTTAGCTTGTGTTTGTTTAAGTCCACAGACATTTGGACTCACTGGATTTTGAGAAAAGGAAACAGCACAAAATGAAGAATATAAACAACAACCATTGTCTTTCTTTATGAACCTTTACGTTTCTTGGACAGTATCAGACTGTTTCCTGTGTGCTACTGTTTAGGTTGGGTACATAACCGAAAGACTGCAGTGCCTTCAGGGTCCTCCATGGTATGAAGTAACATCTGGAAAAAACAAAAACCCTTGCATTTAATTGATGGTGCAGGCGATTTAGTAAATGAATTTGGGTTAAAATTCCCTTAATCTTTGTGTGTTCCATAAACTGAAAAAAGCCTGACAAAAATCTCACAATTCCCATACTGAAGAGAAATATCTACTGACATAATTCAATCACAGATTATTACGTAGCCAAATGAACGGTATGCTTTACTACCTTACACAGTTACTTGTATAGGTTTTGTGCTAGGCATCATGAATCCAAGCTATCAGCTATCTTATTGCAGTGAAAAAAGCAAGGTTTTCAAGACAAAACAGTACCTTAATGATTTAACTGAAGGTTTAAATTCATACAAGATATTTAAAAGATATTAAAATAGTAAAATACATATATATTTATTTCTGCTCTACTCGACAGACCTCAATTCAACTCAAAAATTCAAGTCATTGCAAATGAATACATATTTATCTTCAGTACTACAATGGATTATTTTCATACTTTAAGAAACTGAAAAAAACTGAAACAAAAAGAACAAATAATCTTGCTTGCTTCCTTTTAATTTAAATATCTTAGATATTCTCCCCAAGTGAAATACTTTCTTCCTCTTTTACCTTAGAAAGAGTGCCTTTTCCCCGTGTTTGTCATGGAAGAATACACACATGATGAGGTTCCTGCAGGGCTAGAGGGGAGCTTTCCTTAAAAGTTTTCACAAACATTCAAATTCAAAACCTGTTAGCAAAGAAATAAAATTGCTCTTTCACTTTTAGTTGTTTTTACCATTATTGGAAAAGGCAAATGAGAAGTCTAATTTGTTCAAAACTTCATTTAAAAATACACAGTGCTAAGTGAGCATATTCTTGAGTTTCAAATCAAAGTGCAACAGATGCAAAATGTGAAATCTTTTAAAATGCATCTTCACCTTTTCATAATATGCATATATTTTTCCTTGAAAGGTGATATTTCACACATCAATAATTTCAGACGTAAAAAAAGGCTCCTGAGTAGTACTGCACTTGTAAGAGTTCAGTATTCTTTTTTTAAAAAATGTTGATAAAATAAATGGATAGTTTGACAAAGTATGAAGCACTCCAATATTGAAAACAGAAGAGGAAAACATCCCTAAAAAGATTTTGAATTGAAGGCCACACTGTATTCACTGTATATTGTGATCCAGTATCTTTCCAGAGTGAAAAACTTTCAAGACTGATACGTACTAAGATTGAACTCTGCCTCTTCTTGCATATGAGATGCCTACATTTATGCCCACTACATTTCTAGGTGGTCTGAACTTAATCATTCCTTCCCTCCCTCTGTGTTGTTTTATTAGTAGATATTCAAATAAACACCACTTGAAAGCCTGTAATTGAAAGTTGAGTGCCACTCCAATAAAAACATACAAACAAATATTCACATATTTTACTGTTCTAACAGAAAAAGTTCTCTATAAAGAGTAGGAATCAAAATAGTGTCAGGTAACAGGATTACCTAAGGACACATTAAATTTATTTTTCCACAAAATAATTAAGTTTCTTCATTAAAACTAGACAGTATTTCAGTTCTACAAAGCAAGCCCTATAGATCTTTTCTTTCACTTCCAATAGAAATTTAATTAGGACAGATACAAGATTTCTGAGACATTTTGTTGCAACAATAGCAACTCATTTCAAGTAAGGAATTAATGTAAGGTTTTATTTCTGGTCACTTACATGACTAAAATACCAATTAAAAAAATTGATTAATTCTTAAGCTTCACAAAATCCACTTTTTTAAAACCTTTATTTCCTCTACTTAAATCAATTTCTAGAAATTTTTCTCAGAGAATGTAATATATTTCTACTGAAAATACTTTTAATTTTTTTTTCTAATTTTTTTCTAAGAATAGAAGGAAGGTGCCATTATTGTTTTGCTTCAGAAGCCAGTCCCTACTATCAGAAAAGACTTGGCATGGCTACACACACACACGGAAGTGTTCAGGTGCAGTATCATACAGATCAGTAAAGAATATACAAAAAACCATAGTGTATAATACTGTGACAATTTTTCAATATATTCACATACAGTAATCTCCGACTACCTGCAACTAAACTGGCCATAAATCCTGAAGAATCTTGTCTATAAAATTGAGTAACCCATCAATATACTGTATCTCTTCTAAAAATACCCGTATTTTACACTAATATACAAGGTATCTGCTTGCAAACACAGAAGTAGCCATAAATAAAACTTTATTCTTTCATTTCATTTACAAGCTACCAAGTACCATGTATTTACACAGCACTGGACACTTAAAGTAGTTGCAGTCACAAAATGATCCAGACAGCTGTTGATAATGTAAAGGATCTTAAGATAAAAGCAAAGTAATACTGTAACAGATAAGTGGCAAAAAAGCAGTTTTGCCATAATGATCAGACTTGCATGTTGCATCAATTCTGGTTGAAACGACTGAGCGCCATGCGATTCTCAGCTTTAATTATTTGCAGTCTGGCTAAAGTTTGTACAGTCATTTCTCTTTTGCAGTTATTAAAATAAAAAAGTTAAAAACTATAGCAGCAACAAGCAAACCCTGTGACAGGAAGGCAAGGTTTAAGAACTAAAAAAGTTTATACAATGTGCTTAGGAAGGTTGCAGAATTTATCTTCCATCGGCTGGAGTTCGACTGAGTGACAACATGATTCGGGCGTATCTTTCACACAGTTCGTGTGTGGAGTAGGAGGGTAACTTTGGCGGGTCATTGAAACCTTTAATCTCTGTAGAACAATCTAGCAGTTTTGGCAGGAAATCTGTCAGCTTTTCTTGCAAGTTAGCTGCAAATAAAACAAGAAAAACAAACATAAGCATTTATGTCTGCATGTGGAATTCTCCTTTTTCTGCCCAACATTGACTTTTTTTTTAATTGGTGGGTGGGAAGAGAAGGAGTTTCACTTGGAATAATCCACTTTCTTCAGGTCTGCCAGCAATAACTAGGACATACCAATTCCTAGTAAGATGTTAATATAAATGCTCCTTCAGATGGTCTAACAACACAAATGTTTTTCCATTCAAAAAGCACGTTTCCTTTAAGACCTAATACCCCAGTGCAATATATGGAAAAACAGTTTATTTAAATGTGTACGGGATTATTCAAAAGTCAGGGTAGCTCAAAATACATTACCAAGGCACAAAAGATATAGGCTCAATTCAAGACACCAAAAACATCACATTTATAAAAAAGGTGCGCAAGGGCCTTTTACCTTAATGAATAAATGACTTACGTTCCATTTCTTGTCCAAGATAGGAACACCAACGGTTTCTCATATCTTCCACAGCAACAATATCTTTTTCTTCCATTTCATCCACCAGTAGTAATGGCAAACACGGGACAATAAGCTCATTCATAATGATCAGGCCATTATTTACTTCCTGATCATCTCCTGATTCAAACAGTGCTGCAGCATGTTCATTTAGTTTCTTCATAAACCACCACAAAAAAGGAAAGCCTTTAAGTATACAGCATTTCACATTCTACCATGCATCTGCTTCTGTTTGTTTTAAAGCATAGTCTTCCTACAAAGCTACCTAGTAATTTGTATTAACCACAGTTGCACTTTAACATTTACAGCAATGATGCATACATTCTATTAAACCATTCGATCTTGTGCTATTCCTCAAGCCACTTAATTTGATACCTGCCAACTCAACATTTGCAGCTTTTTAAGACTGAGGTCCTATCACCTGCTTTTGTTTTCTCACTATTGCCAAAAGTGACATAATCAAGGAAAAAAATCCATTTCCAATTTGTCTCCCCGTCAAACTGTGGCGAAGGGTGAGTCTGTTCACCAACACTGTCAACTGTTGTTCCTACATAGCCCAGACATGACGGCAGTAAGCACACTATTTACAATCATAAAGAAGATAATTGATTATTCCAAAAAATCAGGAATAATGTTTTCCTTTTTACTTTTGCTTTTTTTCCTTACACAAGTCTAAGTATTAACTTGTTAATGAAAGGGGGTTTTGTTTGGTTTTGTTTTACATGATGGCAACACTTTTCTACTAATTAATTTTGTTTATGCAGCAAGTTCAACTTTTTGAAACATACTTCACTCTTCACTTACTAGCAAACATTCTCGTCTGTAGTGAGATATCAGCTCTTCATCATGCCCTCTGTACGGGCCTTTGGACAAGAGTTCTTTGTTATTCTGGTAAGCATAGATAAGGTAGAGCAAGGCTTCCATATAGCTGAAGTAAAGTAAAGAAACAAAAACATGAGATGCAACATCCAGGTACCACCTGTTTCAAGCTAACTACTGTGCTCTTCAAAGGATAGGTAACTTCACTTGCTTGTTTGATTGTAAGTCCACCCCTTCCCACCAATCTCTTCATAATGTTTTCTTCTACCACACAATTTCATCTTTTGTGCACATGAGAACAATTTATTTTATTATCGGGTTAGATCACTTGCACATGAAGCCTGATCCAAAGCTCACTGAAACCAATAGATACCATTTCACTCACTTCAAAAATAGCTTTGGATTATCCTTGAGTATACATGAAAACTTAATTTTTCCTGCGTGCATTTATGTCACATTAGGTTTGATCTTCTGTTGTCATATATGTCTTGATAGCATTCTACGCCTTAGCAAATAAGATTTAAAGCTGTCACCTATTTCTAAAAAATAAACTGTGAATTTTTAGCCTCACTAACTGTAAGTTCTTCCAAACTACTGAAGTCTAAAGTGATGGAAGAAACCACAACAGCATTTCAAAAGCAGAAGTGCCACTAGACTCTTGATATTTCTGTCTTTAATCTAAATAAGATAAATACAAGCCTAATTGGTAAAGGACAAGTAACAGGGGACCTAAGAACCTAACAGTTAATAATCAGCAGAGATCACTTCACGCACAGTTTAACAAATCTGCCTTCAAACTGCTGCATGCCGTTTCCAGCAAACACCTTAAACTGTTAATTCTCTGACTTACAGAAAACCGGTTCTGACAGACAGCCACTGAAAGCAGTTCAGGCAGCTACCCTAAAAACAAGCAGTTAGAAATCTCATTTTTATTCAAGCTGAAAAAAATCTAGGAAGAGAAATTTCCTAACAGAGTGGTTAGAGGAACAGTACATTGTGCACTCACTCATTCCTAGTGAGAACAGGAGGTCATGGTTAAGGTTTAAACTACCAAAACCAAACCACCAAACTACTAAAAATGGCTAAAAATTATGTGTGAGCACACACCAGGCATACCTGAAAAATACATGTCAGAATTTTCCACAGTAGACAAACTCAAGACTTACAGTGATGCCTCCCAATGAGGCAACATAAAAAGAAGGGAAAAGGCTACTTGAAACAGCAATGGTTCCTTAAAGCTTTACCTTCTAATATCCCTGATTAGAAGAACAAGATGAAGCCCAACAGCATAATTTCAGAATCTACTTTGAATTTATTTCTTCCACCACGAGATCTGCTCATAGTCCCTTGCAATTCTAAATATTTATTGCTTAAATAATTAATATATTACAAGTACAGTCACTGTTCTCCACCTTTTCGTCCTCAAAATACAAAGCTACGCTTTCATTAAAAGAAGTCCTATTACTCTCTTCCCAAGTGCATTTCTCCTGCCCATGAAAACTCTTCATACCACTGATCACCAACACAACTGACCAGACAGCAGAAAACTTAATGTAAGAGGAAAGGGGAGAAGATGATTGCAAGGAACTGGAATTGCTGGATATAAAGCCAGAGGAGCAGGACCTTCTCTCCCTTTCTGTTCTTAGTTATTTGTGAAACTGCAGATTGAAATTACCATGTCAACAACTCGCTTAATCCAAATTAAAAACTTGCGGCTGGTAGTGGCCTTATTCCCAGTCCCTCTCTTCCTACTCCTTCCCCCAGTTGTGTGACCTTTCCCTGAAACAACCGTAGTGCCATCTAACAGCAAGGTAAGCTATTTTAAATCATCATTACTGTACATCCAAGCTCGGAGTCCTTGTGTATCTTGAGAGTCAGAGGAAAACGATTACAGTGTGAATTAGCAAACAGATTCAGCCTTTTCACCCCTGAAGTGCATATAAGCTCCAGCCTATGAAGACTAAGCCTAAAATCACTGAAGCTGCTCACAGAATTAGGGAGCTCACTGGATCTAGGCTTTGGAAAAGATGCAGAAAGCACAGGTTTGCTAAATTTTAGCACTGCTTTGAAAAAGGCATTTCAGTGAAAACTGAAAAACTGTATTGGCTTTCCAAGAAATTTAAAAGGCAATTGCTAAGGTCTATGGTTTCTCTCTACCACAAGAGCAAGCTGCAGGTGAAACTCCTGCCAAGATTCATTAGCTGGCTGCAGTTCATCTCACCCATAGCAGGTGCCTACTCTATAGTACAGTCAGAGAAGATATGCCCGAAAGACGTTTTAATTCTCCACCTGCAGTGAAAAAAGGGCCTTGTCAACTACCTTAAGGGATCATGAGTGAACACTGAAAGTAGGCATGACTTTCCAGTGCTCAGCATAAGGTGATTTTCAGTAGTACTAAGAAACTGTTGTTTCCTTTGTGCCTTCAAATGCAGTCTTGCATGTTCCACACTCCAGCACCAAGACCTATAAAAGCAAGCTACATAGAGGAAAACATACACCAAACTACTTCTTTAATGTTGATTTTGTGTTTGTTCAACACAGCACAATTATCTGAGGAAATCAGAGACTACCTGGATAAAGACCGATTTTTGGCTCCGTCTAGAGATTGAGTGCTGCTGGGTACCAAATAGTGTTATTAAACTAAGAAAAGTTGGTCAACTGACAGAGATGGGTTTCTGAAAAAAGCCTCAAAACAGTCCTGCTGATGAAGGTCATATTTCAATTATGAAAGTCTATGTTTTCATAAATATTTTTAAAGTTACATTTTCATGATTTCAGTCTTAATAAGGGAATTGGAAGAGTTCATCAATTTAGTCTCGTTTTCAGAATAAGGATGGTACTACTGCCCTCTAGAGTGTACAAGATGCGATCCTCAGTAAATATCTCAGTCCTTCGGGAACCTGTAGCTGAAATATGGGTGCGTAATTGCAATAGATGCTTTTAGAGTAGGTCAATGGATACCCAGATCCTCGCCCATCCTCTAAGCATGCTTAACCCTAGTCTTGCTGTCTTTGCATTAAATACCTCTTGAAGCATTTATGAAATTGCTTTTCTTGCCAAAGGGAATGAATGCTACACTTGTTTGGATGTTAGATGAGTCTGATAATACCATATTTTTTTATTTCTGACCAATATCAGAGTCTAAGACTGGTCATTATAGGCTTGTTTTCTAAATTACAAAGATGTTTGGTAACAAATTCCTCACCCTCATTTTGCAAATTAATGTAAATAATGGAAAACTATACCAAAAATGCTGTTCAGCACAGAGCAGAAACCTGTGTTTCCCTCCCTCCCCCTGGCATAATCAGAATATATTATGGTAAGAAGTGGATTAGTGAAAACACTCGTATTTTGCAGTTGAAGGTGCCATCCTGGAGTGCCAAGGAACTTGAAGACCTTCCGTTCCTGCCTGCATGCTTAGAGCATGCATGAAGTCCGGGGGTAACAAGGAGAGCTCCTATATACAACACCAATGCCCATGACATTTTTGCCTCCTTAAGGGATCAAGCAATACCAGGGTGTTTATTTTTCAAATAAGCCAGGCAATCTTCTGACCAACCTTTGTATATAAGCTGTTCAAGACTTACAAAGTAGCCTATTGCAATTTAGATTATTAATGAATGTACTATTTATTACACACTAGCAACCAGAAGACAAAACAGGACTATGTGCTCATTGTTTTAGCCACTATACAAAGACATAGCTTGTCACGAAGACAAGGCAGTGTCTTTTCCAATCCCTCTTCTTGTTTTGTTCAGGGCCTTTCTTGTTTGGGAGCATACAAGACAAGAAAGAGAAATATGAAGCAATTTACTATACAACATACACGTAGGAAATTAAGTTTGATTCCCACTATAATTCCCCTACTTACTGTGTTATACAGGAAAAATCAGTGATTGACTGCAGAATTGTTTTCACAGTCAAAAATTTGTGTCATGTGATAGCTCAATTTTCACACAACAGATGTCAGCCACTGGATATTTTGCAGCTAATCATTTTGTTCCTTTGGCTGGGCATGGGAGGAAGAGGCAGTTTTGAACAATTCCGTTTCAAAGACTCTCTTCTGCAGAATGCTTTGAGGCATTTATACTGTAATCACCATCCTTGTTGCATGTAGTAGATCAGAGTACAAGTTTTAGCTGTAGAGTGCATTAAGTACATAAATGTCACCAATTTTATATAGCCACAATTCCTGACTTGGTGAGAAAAGAGAAGGGAATGAATCACCATTGCCTCATGGAGCTAAGAGGAATCAGCTTCAACTGTGATAGTTGAGTATGACAGTTTTGCTCAAATATGTTCTTTTTTCCTGAACTTTAAAGCCCATCACAGGTGGAATTTTGACTCAGACAAATGCAGAAGGCAAAATTGCTTCTATGGGAAGACCCAATAAAAAGATGGGTAAGACGAGGACTTGACTAATTGTAATTGCTGATGAAAGCAGATAAATGTACGTGCACACGTGGTGCCAGCGAGGAAAGATTTTTATCTCTGAGGGATACCCAGAGCACTTAGATTAGGAGAGAAGAAGGAATACAGGTGCATGTGGAGGGTGCTCTGAAAAGAGTACATGGCTTGATATGGAAAGAAGAAATAGAGATTAAGAATAGGAAGCTGTGGGAAACTTTGAGGAAGATGCAAGACTGAAGACATTAATGGACCAAATAAATGCTTAAATAAAATGAAGAACACATTAAACAATTCTTAATTTTAAAAATAGCTTTACTTATCAATATTACATTTTGCCTTCAAATTGCTCTATCACATTTGAGTTCTATACTACCACTTACCTCTTTTTTTGGAAAAACTCCAATCCTACCATGAGAAACATGGTTGTTTCCCTGAAATTTCTATAGTCTTGATGCCATCTCTGCATATAAGAAAGGGTATAGAGAATTTCATCCACAAACATGAAATACAATTTTTTAAATTTTTTTTTTTAATACACACTTTACTTAGTGCTGAATACTCACAGTAAGTGCTAAGGACTCCTAGTAAACTTGCGTGTGGGAAAAGTCCGCCTGCATCCCCCCTCCCTCAATAAAAAGAAAATTTTTAAATACCTGAAATATTTCTAAATGAGATTATTTCTATAGAATGCATTACCATTTGAAAGGAACAAAAAGCATCTTTGGAGAACCACAGTCAGAATTATATGAGATCCCCTTTTTCTTCTCAAAAGGAGTTGAGAAGCTAATAGCCTTTTTTTCTTCCCTACATTACAGTCAATTATTTAATCAGAAAGTGTTAGAAAGCTTTTTCATATACTCAATATTAAGCTTAACTTTCAATATAAGAATGACATAGAAAAAGCTTGAACACATTACATGGGAAGTGACAAAAAAAACAAATGCAATTCAGATTGTGGAGATGTTTATACTGGAGCAAAACATTTATCTTACTGCATCGCCATTTATACAAAGTGACTACTAGTACACTTTACAGGTAAATGCTCTAAGTGAAAAAGGTACTTTTACTGCAGTTGGTTAGTAGCCAACTTTCAATTGCTTATTAAAGATAAAATAGGGAACAACATACCATAATACAGAGCCACTTACAGATTCAACACAAAGAGCATGAGAAAGGGTCCATGAAATGCCAACTCACTATACAGGATAAATACTGATACAATCTTTGGAGAAACCACCAACTATCTGCCTCAGGAGCTAAAAAAGTGGCATGAATCTGCAGGGGAATAGAAGACACCCCACTCCGTCACTCTTAAAGCTAAGTCCAGAATTGTTTATTCTACCTGTGCAATGCCATTCAGAAAATGGTAAGATATTGAGCCTTGCACACCCTAAAAAATGCATCAGAAATCCCACAATGAGAGTCCTTTCCCCTCACGGGCCAGGGATGGCACACTGTAATGTAGTAGGCATCTACTGTAGGTCCTAAACGTGGTAATGAGAAGTGACAAGTAAATATTTTTCATTTGGTTTGTTGAGGGGAAGATCACTCCCATAGTCCTCCAGAACAAGCTGTTTGGACCTACGAGCGTAACAATGAGGTTTAAGTGGTGTACTGGAATCTGCCTGGGATGCAGATACCCCCTGTTAAGAGGCCTTAATGAACAGTATTATGCAGAGCTGAAACTGGTGTTGTAAAACCAGCTACAGACTTAGCTTTAAATATGAGAGGAATTGTTTTGGCAAATATTAGTCAGGATTATTTAATGTCTGAGATTTGCTCTTCTTTCCAAGTTTTTCTAAATAGTGCAGGAGGAAAAATTAAATGCATAAACTGGTTATGTACGGTCTCGGCAAACAAAAGAATCTGGTGCTCATAAGAAAATGGGAATGGCTGCAGAGAGAGCTGGAAGAAAAGCACGAATGTGACTGTGCCTGTGACCCAGTTCTCAAGATGTGTAAAGGCTGGGCTTAGACCACTCACTCCTTCACTGCTAGCTGTTTCAGACTAGAGAAAGCCAGTTGGCTCATACGGTGATAAATTATGAAATACTGTTAGTGACGTCGAGACACGTTAAGGAGTAAGGACAGACTCAAACTTGACATTTATTTATGGCTCAAGTCATTGGAATTACAGATGTGGAAAAACCAGCTTTAGATCACCTGGTCAGAGCAGCATTCCTCCAAAAAAATGGTCCTTCAATAACCAGTTTTAACTTCTTAGTGTAAGACAAGAAGAAAATTGTGAAAATAAAATTCAGCTTACTGATAACTATTTCATATTACAGTTTAATTTAAAGCATAAAAAATACTGACCTCATATTCCTCCATGTTTACTTCATCTGGCTTTATCATTTCAAGTTTAGCTTGAGCAACCTTCATTATGTTACGGCACCTCACAAAAAGTAACAAGAAATCATGGAAGATTACTGGAAATTCACAAAGGATATTATCCATACAAAGACAGCAGCGTCAAACAGTATAAGCTACAGCCTTAGGCAAAGCAGTATGAAAACACTGTGGAAAATGTGCTTTTTATTATGCAGCATATAATCAGCAGGAGAGGGCATACTTTAGAAGTACATGTGATGGAGGCCTGTGCTATTTAAGAACTACTACTTGTTTTATTTTGCTGAATTGCCACATTGCTCAGTCTTTAATTTAAAGGTCAGATGGCTTGAAACTCCTCGATATTTACTTTGCAAAAGTAACATTAAAGGATTATTCACTATGCAGAAATCAGACTAATGTTCTCTACCTTTCAATTTATTTATTTATTTAAATAAGTAAATATATGGAATTTCGAGTGGAAAAGAGACATTGTCTTGCATTCAGGTAAGTTACCCACATAGCTTGAAAGGCTTTGCTGTCTACTGCTGGCTTTCAGGGCAGTGAAGAATGCAAACTACAGAGCCTTACATGGTGTTTTGAAAGAAGGTACAGAAATCTATGGGCAGATTTATGAGCAACACTAAGTATTTCTCCTTATTTCACAATGATAGAAACCCAACTTCTTGTTTAATCTTTTTATAGAGTTTTTTATAAAGATTATATTTTTTACAAAATATACTTGCAAGCTATTGACTAGAAGATAAAGCCAAACAAACACATTAGTCTTCCCTCTATTACGTGCACTATCTGAATACAAAGGGGTGTCTCCACCCACCAGAGAACGTTCATGAGCACAGGAAATGAGACATGCAGATCTTATTACCTTTCATCAAAGCTGAGATTGTGATCTCCAAACTGTTCCAGTAATGTTCTCTCAATTATCTTCTTTGGTGCCTGGTTTTGGATGAAGTAAACAATTGCATGACGCAAACGGTAATCACATTCAGGTGGTGGATCTTCCTGGGCTAATTTTAGCAGACGCGTGTATTCCAATTTAATTGCCTAAGTAATTTTAAAAATATACATTATTCTTTCTGGCTTTTAACTCTTAAACATCACAGACACTAGCAGGATAATTCATGACCCATGGCCTTTTGCCTTGATATTTTTTTATCAATTCCATACTTCTAACAAGTTTGAACTATATTTAAAACAAACAAACAAAAACAAAGCAAAACAAAAAAACGCAAAAAAACAGACAAACGGTAAAGTTGTTCCTGTCTCTCCCCAACTAAGGCTGCCAAAATCCCAGGTAGACCTTTACTTCAAAAGCAGTCCCAATCCTGTGCTTTGTCTCCCTAAGAAAAGGTTTATCCAGTCCATAGGGAGGCCTCTTTAAGCATTTACAGTCCAAAAGCAGTATAAGATTTCAGACACTTTACTTAAATGAATCTTCTAAAATCTCATAAGGTAAAAAAGGTACCTTTAATACCCGGTTAAAATGCAAATACATGAATAAAACAAATTCTACAGAAAGTTTAATAAACATGTATGATTTTGGAAACACTAAGTGAGAATGGGAAATGTCTTTCAACAAGTATCAAATTGTAGGATTTCTGAAGAAAATAATACTTCAATATGAATAGTATTAGTCTCCTATAGGGCAGGACAGAGTCCTCACTGAACATTTTAGATCAACTTCAGAGGTCATCAGAAGCATTTACTTTTCCAGCTTTGCCAACACATTAGATTTTAATGAACATCATCTGTTATGTTCATTAGATTTTGTTCACTGAAACTATATAGCATGAACAAGAGCAAGAACAATAAAAATAATTAGAAAAATGGTGAAAAATGTAAATATGTTCCATAATTTATCTCTCAAAATAGGGAGGTGATCAGATTGTTTGCTAACACTAAATGTCAACTTGAAACAAATGACTTAACACAGTAGCTTCACACATGAGCAAAGTTTCAATACAACATGTGCACAAAATAAGGTTCCAAAGCAGGCAGAAAAATACCCTGTTCAATATTTCAAATTCCTTTATGTTGAAATACCTGGCAGTAGCAGGTAACTTCTTGATGTTTAACTATCAGAAATTTGGGCTCCCATCCTCTACTAATACACATTTTGTTTCAGGACTAAACATGTGGGTAGGATACTATTTATACAGGCTTAAACACAGAGCGTGTGGAGAACTGTAAAACTTAAGAGAACGTTCTGCATCAGTATTTTTAAATACTAATCATATGCATTATCTTTAAAAAGGAAGTTTGAGAGAACCGTTTATAAATATCAAAAGCAACAGACAGAGTTTCTATTATCTTACATCAGAAGAAGTTCTACCATTAGAAAACCAACATGGATAACTATGCAATTAAACCCTGTTTATTGGGGTAGGCCAGAAACAAAAAGTAATTGCTAGTAGACATTTAATTTTTCAGAGAATTACTCAGAAGTAGGAAAAATGCAACACAAAACCTATATTTTTATATACATATTTAAACAACATAAAATGGTATACTACAGATTCAGAAATCCTATGTACAATGAAAAAATAACACTATTTCTTTACACAGAATACAGGAAAAAGGGATGGTAGAAAAAAGTATTACATGCTTTCATTTTCTCACTGAGAACGTTATATAAAGACGTTAAGGCAAACATTCTGCAAGGAGCTGCCTATAAAGTTTAAAGAAGGATGATTGGAAGAGGTCATTGATCAAGAAATATCTTAACAGGTTTGTATTAGTCTCAGGCCTGAGATTTAAAGGGGGAGTGAAACCTTGGCAGTAACAATGACCCACGTTTTACCTGGGTTACACATAGAAAGACATCATAGAAAAACTCCCATAATCTTCTATAAACACTCATTTTATAAAAAACAAACACATTAAAAAACCCAGAGTACAACAGTATTAAAAAAAAAAAAAAATCATAGAAGCTTTTACAATAAGTTTATGGAGTAACATGAGATTTCATCTGATATGTTTCAAAATACGAATTTTGTTACTAAGTAGGACTGCTTCATCTGCATACGTTCATACTAATGTATTCCTCAAAAATGAAGCATGTTCCACCTCTTCTAAGTTATTGCAAACATGATTCAGCAGAAAATGAGTAAGGAAGATTTTCTACTCTCCAACAATTTAGTGTCAGAACATTTTCTCACTCAAAGATAAATTCTGTCCCCCGTGAAGTGAAGATGTTTAAGCATTCAAAATTAAAGACCAAAAAACATTTCAACTGAGCATTGTTTTGACAACTCTGAAGCACTAAATATAATTTTATTTTGAACTGCATTTCTGTTTTAAAATTATCAAAACACCCTTCATATCCAAAAAATAATTTGGTGTAATTAAACTTTCTAGTAAAGAGTTTGATTTGATCAAATGAGGATTTTTTTTCAACTTAAAAAAGATTGACATCTTTTCATTAAGTAATAAATTTGAAAAAAAACCAGCACTGAATTCCAAACAAAACCTATTTCACTAAACAGAGGCTATGGCAGGTGTCCCTCCATTCCCTGAGGGCAGGCATGGTTAACAGAGACAGCCCTGCAAACAAGTGTTATGGTCATAACACTTATCTAAGTATCCATTACAAAGCCCCACACAAACAAACAAACAACCCCATGAGATTTCAGATTCCTTACCAAGGGGTTAGAGAATTTGTTGGTGGTGGTGTGGGGGGGTTGTTTGGTTGTTGTTTGTTTGGGGTTTTTTGTTTCTTTTGGTTTTTACAATTTCTTCTAGTGCAACTACACCATAACATTTAAGAAGAAAACAGACTGCTACTCAATGACAAGCAAGAAACTTCTCCCTGCCTCCAAATCACATTTGAGAGGATTTTACATCATGTCAAAGTAATCCCCTTTCTAATACCCTGAAAATTCAAAAGATCATGAGCTAAAAATTCTCAGAAGTTTGTGTATTTAAGAAGACTAACACATTTTTAAAGCTGGTATCATTGTGAAGAGTAATAACCACAAAAAGCCTAATGTCTAATTCCCAGTAACAAAACACTGCATAAATAAATAGTATTGATATCCATGCAGTTACACAAAAGAAAGTAATTTAGATTTACTAAAAATCTTTTAAAGAGTACAAAACAATAACATCTCTTTGAAATAAACAACAAATGACTAAACACTGACGTTCCTGGGTGAAAAAACTGATGTCCCAAACAGTCTAGTGAAGGCATGTTTTTTGTAACTAATGGGAAAAAAAAAAAAAAACATATTCTTATTGATTACACATCTAGGTTTCATGCTACTTGCTACTGTTATTAGAAAGGTAAAATGCAGAAAGATATATAAGCTACTGGATCAAGACAGTGTACTGCTGAATCAACAGGGAAGTAGCTGTGTATTTTTCAAGGGAGAAATATCTAAATGGAGGACTGATATCACAGAAGAGTACATATAAACACTGGAACAGTCTTAATATGCATCAAAGGGTGGAGGGAGAAGGTATATCTAACAAAAAAAGTCAGAGGAGAAAAAGTTGAAAATGTTAGTTGTACCTTAAAGAACCCTGCTTCTGGCCCACACCTGTCATAAACATTCCTGGCTTTACCTATAGCCATGATAATACCTTGCATGTTCGGGGTCAGCATGACCTGCCACAAGGGATTTAAGGTAAAAGTTTTGAATGATTAATATTTTAATGACCAAATTCAATATGCTTTTAGTCTCATGCAAGATAAAAAGCAACTTAATGCATGCATACATTGAAATGGCACATTTCAATACAGATTTGGTGTGCATAGTCTGCAAATCAGTCATGGCATGTGTATATATTTTTACTGTAACAACATATGATTAAAGGAAGCTTACAAAAAATTGAAGAACTGTGTCAAATACAATTTAAAAGCTACATGGTCAAAACTTCCCAGGAAAGGAACATGCATTGTTCACCATTAGTATCCATCAGAAACTGCACACTGAATGAGTGCTACCCATGGCCACCGGAGAATTTAAAAAAAAAAAAAAAAAGTTTCAAGTAGAAAAATCACCCAATCATACTTTATATATACGATACTGAAAACACAGTCAACTACACTGCCTGTATTTTATGTGTATTTTAACATCAAAATAAGGGACCCATTGTTGCAAATGCAATTGGTCCCTGAAGCATTTGCAGACAAATTCTTAAAATGCAAACCCAAAACATTTAACAAACACAAAGCCAAACACAAGACACACATCTCACAGCTATTCACATCAGTTATATACAAACAATTTGATACATCTAGGTTACTCAGAAAGGCCTTTCCCCTTTGTTATCTGTGGGCAAAGAAAAACACTCCCTCTCTCCCTGCCCAAAGTATAGCTGGCACAGCAACTGGTACCGCAACAAAAGATGAAGAACCCTAGACTCTCGGGAAGAGTTTCCCATACATAAGAACAACATTAAAAAAAAAGTGAATACACTTACAAAAGGAACGGGGAAATTGGGAAGAAAGTTATCAACCTCTAGAAAGACAATGGCATGGAGACAACAGTGAAGAAAAAAAAAACAAACCCAAAAAAGCAGGTCATTAGGTGAGGCTAAATCCTCATGTCTTTAAAGGTGGAGACTACATATCTGTGAGAAGCCAAACTCAGTGTGACAATGTCAATTAAATAATTTTTTTCCCCATCCCATACTCCCAGTTACAATTGATCACAATTACAGGGCAGAACGACCTGAAATAGCCATTTGCTAGGGAAGGAAAAGCTCCCCATAGCCCACCAAGAACACATGCTTAGACACCTGAGAATATGGGCTGCACCAACACTATCCCCAACCAAAACAAACACGGAGTAAGCAGTGTCAAGGCAGGACAGTTTGATGACCTGGCAGTGTTGCTTTCTGCTCCTAAAATAGGGCAGCAGAAAATAATAGCTCTCAGCAGAAAGTAATATCTCTCAGGATAACATGGGGCTCTCATCTGTTCCTCAAGTAGTACCAGGTACACGCACCACCCTGGGACTGAATTGGGAAAAAAGAATTTTTGTATTTTTTTTTCCTTAAGCTTTGGAAACGTCAGCTTCACCAGCCATATCAGTTTCAGGTTATTTCCATGGATAATTTAATCCTTGAAGTCTGAAAAGCTTAACCTTGGCAAATAAGGGATTGGACTTGAACATTAGCTTTATTGGACTGACAAGAAAGCACAAACATTAAGAACATCACTCACTATCCGGTCACTTTTTAAATAATAAATTAGTAGTCCGCAGTTCATCACCAGCATTTCAAAGGCTATCTGGCCTAACACAAACATTCAACTTCCACAGCTAAGACAAATATACCGCCAGTGTAAATGGTACCATGCAAAGCGTGCCCTATTAGAGTAGCTAGTGCTTTCCTTTCGTATTTCATTACAAATTAAGACATTGTTAAGGTTACAAACTAAGCATTTAGTTTTGCAGAAATCTGTTAGGTGTCACGATGTGCAAACATGCCAAAAATTCTCATCAGGCAGCACAAGAAAGCACCGAGGAGGAGCGGTGCACACAATTGCAATCAAATGTACCTCATCATCATAACCCCCCTCCTCTGACTCAATCACAAAAGTCCCTACATCAGGAATCGCCACCTCTACAACTCGCTGGTTAGGAGCTGGTTGAGCTGGGGCATTATCAGAGCTCTGCAGAAGAAAATCATTATCAGTATGTGTTGGGGGAAATAAAAAAAAATATTAAAAAAAAAAAGATAAAATTACAGAGACACGCAAACTGACAGGCGGATCAAGTAAAATGATGTGCACTGCTGAAGTTCTGAAAAAAAAAAATCACTTATATTCTCTAATTACTTACAGTTTCTTAATTTTTTAAGCAGTACATTTTAAAATTAAGCCATCATTATTAAAAAGACTTCATTTGTCCTTTATTCCCTAATTACATCTTTACAGGTTAGTATGCCAGTATTGCAACTCTAACATTCATTACAAATTTAAGGCAGTTGTTAAAGGACGAGTCTGTGAACCACCACTTCTTTTCATACATTCCACAAAAAATTACTAAACATAACTGAAGTACTTGATGAATTCATACTAAGGGATGGCAACAAGCCAAAGGCTAACATTTCCTGATGCTCTGGGGGAAAAAAAAAAAAAAAAAAAAAAACAAAAACAAAAAAGTCTCTAGCAATTAAGATATTTGAAAGAATATTTAAAGGTCCATTACATTCAACAGGTTGTTTTTTTTAAGAAAAGTAATTGGACAGAAAATCAGGGGAAGATTATGTTAGTCGCTGAAATTCTTGCTATGTTAAAGTAAGTTTTAAACAACAATGGAGACCAATCTCAGCTCCTACGGTCTGTCTTTGTACAATAGCCAGTTTACAACATTTGCAGAACTTAAACCTTGACTCTAATCTAAGCAATCACAGAGTGCCATGCTACTTGTTCTGCAACTATTACAATAGTCTCATTTTTTAACAAAGATTCCAGAAACCCACATAGTATCTATTTACACCCAGCTCTGTATAAATACAAAGGAAACCTGTGCAGAGGGTAGAAAAAAGGACAAAAGGGCAGAAAATGGACAGAAATGATCATGTGGTAACTAACCTACAGTCCTGTTTGTTATATGTTCTGATGTTGGCTTTCCTTCTTTTAAAATGGACAAACAAAAAGTGGAGGAAAGGAATATATGCCTGCATGTCAGAATGCATATGGAAGTAGAATAATTAAAAAGCATGCTGATACACTGAGAAGAAAGCACAATTGCCCAAGTTAAATTTGGGTATACAGAGAGCAGCTTTTAAACATTAACAGAGTACCTTCAGATTAGCTAGATATTACCTTTAGATTCTAGCAGCTGAAATACATTTGTTTCTAAATAAAGGAGTTTGCATAGTTTGGGGTTTTATGTTTTTATTTTTAAAGAGCCATCCACCTTGTTGCAGAACAATGCAGTGAAAATATTGGAACAAGATGACCTGCATCTGCCTCATTAAGCTATCGTGATGTTCCCCATGTGGTTCCTCAACCACAGCCTTGTAAAGTCCTAAGGCTGATAACTGTCCAAAGTGTCATTAGCCTAAACTAAAACACTTGATCCATGGAATTAAGTCTGTAAGATTCTTCCACATCCCACTGGGATGGATGCCCACAGACCTTAGAAAAAGGACAGCATCATGCAAGATATTTTATCATGCGTTTGATATCTTCATAGCTACCCCTTCAGCTGGAAGTAACTCATATTAAACAAGCTCCCCCTAAGCTGTTTGGTGTTCTGAGAACTCAAAAGTCAGATATGCAGTAGCCTAAAGCATTAGTAGTAGAGCATCTTTTCATCCAGGGTTAGATTAGTTTCCCTGTTGGCTTTGATTTCAGTTTAGCAGAGAAAGTGTGCTTCTCTGCTTTCCTGACACCACAGGAGAGAGGGACGTCAGGTGTAAGAATCAACAAATTGTCACGTCATTTTCAAAGGCTTTAAGAGGACTTTCCTGTTGGCCCCAAAGATATCTGGGGCTAGACTGCTTTTGTTTAATGAGGAATCATACCTGAACTTAGGGAGCATGCTTCAAATTTTGCACGGATCTAAATTGTTCAAATTGTTAAATCTCTAGTGGTTACTAGGGGTGCCTAAGGAAGCTATACTGTATATTTCATATGTTTTATCCTTACGGATACAGTTCCAAGACAGATGCATGTATTGCGTTAAAGGCACTTGCTTTTGTGGCAAATACATTGGTCATTTATCTATATACTTATAGGGAAGCAAAAGAGTACTTGCTGAAAGAAAAAACTGTTAAATATTAGTTTCATTAATAACTCATGAAGTAGCAAATTTCCAATTCCTCTTAGTATTTGTTGTATGAAGTGAAAACAGAATCACCCAACACTAATTCTTATAACCATTTTAAGTTAATATATGCATCTGATGAATCACAAAAAAGTTATTTTCACCAAACTGTGAATTTGCATTAAAGCTACATAACACTGTTGAAAAAAAATCTTATTTTTGAAAGCTACTTTAACTTCCATAGGTCTTTCAAGGGAAATCAATTATAATCTTATATTTCTCAGATTAAAACCTGAATGTTTAAATCAGTATTTTTCAAGTCTTTTATATGGAATGTCAATGTTTACTCCTCAAAAATAAATGGAACCATCTAACATTTTGAAAAGATGGTGGGCACAAACACGATTGTCATTTGAACAATATGCTGCACACTGAACAAGTACTTTAACCACATAGAGAACATCTATCTTAGTATTTTTGTTCTACTACACCCATTACTATAGTACACACTTTCTGGGTGGACTTTAGTGTTTAACAGTCCCTGAAGAAATAGCAATTTTCAATTCAAAGTTTCCACACATGCCCCGTTTTATCAGCTATTATATCATTTCCACTTGCAAAATAAAAGCAAAAGAAGTATTTCAAGCTTCAAAACAGCCTCACCGTATCCATTATAGCTTCTGGACTTCTATCTTCTTGTTCAGCTAAAGCTTTATTGATTGCTTGCACAGAATCTTCTTTTAAGTGCTTTGAAAGATCAGTTCTTGATGGCTGTTCTAAATATTCTGGTTCTCCTGCTTGAACTTAGTGACAGAAATAAAATAACAATTGTGTGTGTTAACATAAGCATGAATTCTGAATGCATTACTTTTATTTGGATCACTGTCCCATAGATAAGGTAACCCACACAGAAAATGCAGAGTAGGTCACACCATTCACAAATACAACTTTACACCGGTCTGTGTCTCAGGTAATTTTGAACACTTTCATATAAACGGACCCATGATTTTATACTGGGAACAACAGACCTGTCCTGTCTATAGACCCATTAAGGCTCTCACATGAGGGGTGTTCATCAATCACACAAGGGGATGACTGAGAACAAAAATAAGATCCTACTTGGACTTTCTGTGGCATACAGACCCAATATATGGAATGACCTACAGCCACTTAAGTGCCAGATGTATTTTTACTTCGCAAAATAATCAACACATTATATTCTTCTGACTTAAGGGAAATCTTAAAGTCTCCCCGACTTGAGGGCAATAAAATTGATTAGCATAAATAGCATCTTATATTCCTTACATGATGAAAGCAAATTTTGGCAGACAAATAAAACACTCATTTACTACTTTCCATTACTAACAAAAGAACTAAAACCAGTCTCAAAGTTTGTAAAGTCAAAACATATAGAAGATGAAGTCACTCTCCATAGAGTTTGCAAAAAGAGAAATGTCATTAAATCACTGCACTTTTTACATTCAGTTTGTAGTCATAGATAGTTATAAGAAATATATGCTCAGTCTTAATGACTCACATACAACAATAAGAATATCCGGACAGCAGTCCCACTACACAAATCCATCATGTCATCTTTCACCTAACGTACATACAGCCTTCTGCAATGGAGCAAAAGGATGTAACCTAAAACCTGACAGTTTTTTCTATGTCAAAGCAGGCATATGTTTTACAGTCAGATTGCCAGTGGTCTTTATTAGCTAGGTTCCTAACAGCATTGGCCTCACTGTTGCTGTTCAGAGCCTTTTCCACAGTTTTAAACACCCTCATTTTTAAATAATAATTTCTTAAGTGGGCCCTACTATTGCTAACTCTATTCAATACATCACACCAAATAAATTATTCTTCTCTTCAGATCTAAATTCTGTCCTAATTTAAAATTAGAAGGTAGGTCAATTCCTCAATCACTCTGAATAGAGGAATATACATCACTTATGGACTAATAAATTCTCAAAATAGACTGGTGAGACCTGTTAATAATTACCTATCTTAAAAGGCTGAAGCTTCTATGAAAAAAAAAAAAATTAGTTTAGTAAAGCTAAGCACAACTGGGAGGGAAAAGGCAGAAGAACCAACAAATAATTTTTTCTTTAAATAAAAACTAAAATGCAAAAAAACCCCAACAGACTAAACCTCAAGTGCAGTTACCTTGGCCAAGTAAATAGTTGTAATTCAAGATTACACAAATTAACTTTTTCTTCCTCTCTTAAGCTGTAAAACAATATATACAAAACCCAGTGATTTTTGGTTCTACTCGTTTTACAAAGAGGTAGAAGCAGCTAACCTGGAGCAGGTGAGGGTGCTGGTGCCCTGGGTATCTGAGACAACAACTTCTCCTGCTGTGCTTTCTGAGCAAGTTCTGCATCCCATTCTTCGAGTTCTTTTTCAAAACGTTTATTATCTTCCTTGACATAATCCCTTAGATCAGAAGGTAGCGTGTCCATTCCAACAAGGATCTGTCCTGTTTCTTTGTTAAACTCCTCTGCAGTAACGTGAAATATCAATTTCAGAAAAAGAAAGAACAGGGGAAAAGAAAGTATGTTCATCAAATTTCCTCAATGAATTACTGGAAACATACAGTACAGCACCAAAACCCCGAAAGTATATTACTTTTAACTGGTTTTATTATCTGTTGGGCACTCCTCTGCTACTGAGACGCATGGCTACTGCTCTTGCGATCTTTGGGTTATAAGTTCTTGGGCACCATCAGATCATTGCCATTTTGAAAGATGAGCCTTTTGGGCCATGAGCACCCTATGATTGTGAACATTCAGAAAAAAAAAAGTCACAAAAAACCCCACCATAGCTTGACTCATTACTGCCACATGGAGTTGGACACAACTCAACTTCCTAGCAGAAAAGGGGAAGGAGAGTGGGCCTACAGGGATTTGTAAAGTCAACTGATAAGGACACCAGCTACATGAAGTAACCTTCCTTTTTGCTTCAAGAATGGTCTCTGCAAGAGTATTCCAGATCCTAGGGGATCAATCAGCTGTAATTGTCCCCCAGCAAGCAGGCCTCAGACTTAATTAGAGTGGCACAGCCACCCTACAGAGCCCATAAACCCTATGGCTGTAAGTCCACTACTAATCTGGCAATCTAGAAATGTCAAGGTTAATATCAGTTTTCATTTAAAAACTGAACAAATGCACACTCTAGCTTTCTGCCCTATGAAAAGACAGGAACATGAAAATTTTCCACCACCTGTTATTGAATCTCTGGCCATTTTCATGGTCAGCTCCCTAACTGCCATTACCAGGCCCCACAAAACTCATGCTAAGGGATCTTTGCCCTCTCTCCAAACACTTTCATACAAGCCTTATAGTTACATACTACATGACCTGAAAAAAATTTTCCCAATCTATGTATTACTTTGGTTTAATATGTGGTTGGTAGGTCTATGTTATTCACATTTCAATACACTGCATAAAGCTTCAAGTTTCCACGCTCCAGTAAAGTTTGTCAGAGTTCTGAAGCTTACGAAAAAAAAGCTACACAAGGATTTTAATGTCAAGAAGGTCATTTCAGTATTTCCGTATTTCTGTTCTAATCTTCAGTGAGATAACATCTCCAAAATTCTGAACATGTGATCGCCTGGCTAAGATGTTTACAAATTAGCAAACTTAATTTATTTTGCTCTCTTAATAATGCTGAAACACTGGCATTGTCTTTATTAATCTAAAAGTTGAACAGCAATTGTTCCACCCACAAAAATAATCTAACAGTTATGAGCATAAATAGAACTTTCAATAATTATTAAAACCATTTCAAAAATCTAGAAATACATCTGAAAGAAGCTTGCTTTATTAATATATTCAGCTATTCTATATCATGCAGAAAATATATCCATAACATTACCTTGTATCAGGTATTGTTCCTTATCATTGATATACATTAAACAATAAGCACTGGCATTCCTGTAACCACCAAAAGAGTCCCGTTCCAACTCTTCCCAAGTTGACTTTGTCACAGAAATATCATTGTATTTCATCCATCTGTTCTGGTGGTGGTCATAAATATATGCCCAGTAGTGTCCTGCATTAGCTTGACCTTCATGAACTAGCACAGCATGCAACCTATAAGGAACCTTAAAAAAAAAAAAGAAAAAAAAAGAAAAAAAACACAATAGAACAAAAAAACCCAAAATGTCAAACTCTCCTTGCCAATATTTAGTTTCTATACCAGCCAGCAATAATAGCTACATTAAATAAAAGCAACAAAAAAAAAAATGTTAAACAGGATCAAAACGCGACACAGAGGAAAAACAAAAAGGTAAAACTAAGGACTTTGAACTATTTTACTTACCGCTACTAGTTACAAGAGATCTTAAAAACATTAGTGAGTCTATAGCATAAATGTCTACTCTGCTGTCTTTACTGCCAGGCATCCTCTTTTCTTAATTCCTTAATATTCCTACTTCCCTTGTATCTACAAAAAACCCTCAAATATGTCAGCCTTGAGTGTCTATGATCTGCTCCAGTTCTAACCTGGTAAACTTGTCCTGAAGTCTGGAAAGGCACATGCAAATTCAAGGTAATAAACTGTGCTTTCTACGTACCAGTAAGAAGTTTATTTAAAGGAGTATCTGGGAGTTGAATACTTCCATTACCCAAAGGTAAAATTCTTTCAGTAGAATAGGAATATAACTGTTTTCCACTATTTTAAACCTATGAGTAAAAGCATTGCTAAGAGAAGTGGGAACACATGAAGAGGTCCTCTCCTCCTCCTGAGGCAGAGAAGGAAGATACCAGTTTCTAGGATTAATGTAAAAAGTATCCCAGGTTACATGTGTTCACCGACAAGTAAGAAGAATGGGAAACTTAGTTTCTGTGTAAGTAGTTGGAAATCTGAAGGAGAGAGAAGCAGAATGAATGAGTGCTTCCTTACTTACAAGTCTTTTAAAAGCAACTTGGTGATCAGCTCATTTTAGCCTGCTGAAACAGCACATGCAACGTAAAAGGGAAAACTCATCTTCCCTGCTATGCACAGTATGCCTGAATGACAGCAGCTCAGCTAGGATGAAAAAATTGAAACCATCTTTTACTGGTGTCACAGTCTGGACTGTAGATAAATGGTCTATTTAACATAAGGTGTACTAAATATTTGTTGCAAATATCTTCTGAGCACCACAATAATTAGTAACCATAAATACATATGTAACTATAACTTGAGAAACTCCTTGAAGTTATTTTTAACCTGATCATTCTCTTCCAGGCTATATGCAAGTGCTGGAGATTTTGCAGCTCCCCTTGAACTGTAAAGCTGGCTGACTGCACAGCAGCTGGAATCAAACAGACTGTCATCCCAGAGACCAAACCACACTGTAAATCTCCCAAGCACAAATAGTATACACAGAAGAAATCCTAGCAAGTCCTTAAATCTGAATGCTCTGGGGTTTTTAACATCTGTTATCAAACCAGTGTGAAAGTCTTCTTAAAATGATTGCAAGCCCATGCATATGCACATAAACACATGCAGATCCTGATAAAAAAAAAAAAAGGTAAGACTTCGACAAAAAAATTTCCTCACCTTAAAATAGGGCATTAAAATCCCAGGTGAATTTAAATCATTTTACTTAAAACCATGCTAAGTGGGTCAGCTTGAGGGCCCCTACCCTTTGCTCCAGCTCTGGACGACCAGCTGTCAGTTGTCCACACTGAGCTTCCAGGAAGGTTCCCCACAGAGGTCTGTGACTCGGGGACAGGCAAGTTCAGTGCCGACAGGCGTCTCTTGCCATTATATCAACAGCAATTAACAGTACAGGGCAACACAACACGTAAATATTTGGCATTAAGCTTCTTAGCTTACACTCACTACTCATGGAACAGAAATGGAGCTTCACATGTAGCTACAGAACAGATATATCAAAGCTGATATCAAAGATGAATTCCCACAGGAAAAACAGGTGTCTCATTTCCTCACAGCAAGTTCACGGAAGGAGGGAAATACTCAAACAAGCAGCTGATGAAATATATTCATTCAGGAGGACGAGCCAAAATAAGAATTTTGGGAAGATATTTCATATGACAATTTGACAAGGGTTTTATGGACAATTGTAGTTTCCTTAGAACCAAAGGAGACACAAGGAGAAGATTAAGAGCTTCTCAAATAGTTCACAAAAACACTAGGAAGTACCCTGCAAATATAATATGTTTTCCTTAAAAAGCCTAATTTTATGTGCTCAGTCCTTATCGACTCACAGGAGAAAAGCTTTCAGTCCTACAGTTGTATCATTCAGAGGAGAAGATCAATACTGTGAAACTGCTCCCAGAGAATGGGGCAATACTAAGCTATCCAATCACCCAGATGCGGAGGCAGGCAAGGGGAAAGTAGACAGCTATATGCACCTGTCTCCTTCCTATTGTGCCAAAACACCCACAGAGACAAAACCAGCTGGGCTGCAGAAGGGCAGCCTTCACTTCCAGCCTGTGATTTCAGATGGGTTCAGTACCTACTTGTTCCCTAAAAATCACTTAACACACACCGCTACTTTCAGGCACAGCACAGGAACCCCCTCTACAAATCTATATACCATCTTCATCCTCCTCCGTTTCTGGAATTCTGTTTCAAAACAAAAACAAACAAAAAATCTAGTCTACATTACATAAATCTGCACTAGGACAAAGTGTTTTACTAAGTAATCTCCTTTTTCTCTTGTAATGATTGCTGACTAATACCTTTGCCCACCCAGAGGTATTTCTTCCTATAACACCTAAGCCAACCAGGTAGGCTATTTGGATGTGAGAGCACCAAATTACTTCATTTTACTGTATATTTATATGTTATAACACAAGTATTAAGGAAAAAAAAAATGCCTGCCAGTAGCAAGCTTAAAGAAAGCCATCTAGGCAAGTCTGCCTGAAATCCTTAACATAAGAGTTCAGCTGCCAGGAACTATTACAAGCCATGTACAAAATGAAAACGTACCTCAAGGAAAACTGTAAGCTGAACAGACCTTACTTGGAAGGAAAATAGTTCTTTTTACTAACAGAAAGTTACAGAGGAAGTAATCCTTAACCTTAAAACCTGTCAAAGTGAGTGAACATGAGAATGTGAACATAAGAAATACCACAGGAGCCACGACTCCATAGTAAAGCATTCTAAAAATGCTGTTCAGATTACACAGCATAAGAATCTCCCTAAAAGGCAGCTTAGACTAATAGTCAAGGTTGTGACTGATACTAAATCTAGACAGAATTTTAAAAAACCCAACAAAAAAACAAATAACAACAACAACAAAACCCACTGGTGTTATTAACTGCAGATTAAAATCAGGAGCCTTCAATTCCCAAGTATTACTCTGGAAGTTGCAATACACAATGGCAATAAGCATCAAAGCAATAAAAGTAATAGTTTCTTGTGTCTAATGCTTTGCCACCTTAAAGCCGTAAGATTACCTAACAATATCATCAAATTGGGGTGAGAAAATTTTATTGTCTTATACAAAAACTGAAGTTCTGCATTCAAGTCAAAAAAGTGGATCAGAGAGAGAACATATTTGGGCTTTTCATCAAAGTTGCTTAAACTTAAGTATGTCACCTGTAAAATATTGTAATGCTGTCTTTCACCTGGCTGTGCATAATTAAAAGGTTTGCAAAACCCATTATGACTTTCCAATGAAATTTCTCAAACCACTATATATAGTTGTTGTATACTTGCTCTATTTTCAAGCATCTAAGAACTTTAATAAAAGTGACAAAAAGGATTTATTTGGAATTATCTCATGCAGAAATTGTACTTACTTGGACCATTGTTTTGTCAGAGTACATCAATTCAATTGTCCGATGTATTCTAGATATACTTTCTCGTAAATCTAAAAGAAAAATAAAAAAAAAGAAGCTCTCTTCCATGAGGCTGCATAATTGCACATGGCTACATCTTTATTTTATCTCATTAAAAGCCAAACAAGGGTACGTTTCACATTTGGTGTATCTGTTTATCTACCTACATGCCAAACACTAAACCTTCTCGGATGATAAAGCAGAGAGAGAATGATTCGTTATACGCCGCTGCTTGTTTCCTAGAGCTCAACCAAGCCCACCCCTGCTGGAACAACTACTTCTCTTGTTTCCCTCAGAGCAACAGAGCAGACCATAAGCTCTACCCACTCCAAAAAGCCTTTGCTCAGAAATTTGCTGAATTTTCCCTTATGGAAAGGGTCACTCTACCCTAAATCCCCCGCAGAGCACCAAGTCACAGCATGGGCCCAGCCACTATCACACTGACAGCTCAGACACGTATTCAGAGACGTTCTTCAGCATGTATTCCACCTCTGTTTCACTCTACTCCCCTCAACACCAAGCACACAGAAACCTGCGTTGAAACATCTGTGTACACTTCACTCAATGCCCAGTTTCCACCTTCAGTTTATATACCTCCAGTCTACTACAATCTCTAACTGACTTCCCTTCCTATATGCTAGAGGTAAGTTTGGAAGTATGAAACAAGCAACTCGGCACACACATGGACATTAAGACGATTTCCCCCACTTCCACAAATCCTTTCCAACGGCAAATACATTCTCCAGCTTCTGGCATTACCTCTAGTGTCGTTCTCTACTTCAGTCCTCCAGCGATGTAAACAGCCTTCTAGGACAGACAGCTCTTCCTCAGTGATGTGCCTTGGTGCTGGATGCATTGGCAAATCAGGAGGAATTCGTGATTGTGTGAATGGTTTATGTATTACTGATCTTTGTACAGGAGATGTGCTTGGAACATCTGAAGATGAAGGCCCCTGCTGTTCTATTGTGCTGCATTCATTCAAAACATGAAATACAAAAATTGAATCAGCATGTATACAAACTAAAAACTACACCATAAAAATAAGCTTTTCATCTGAAAACAGAAATTTTAAAAGATAATAATCTCCTACATTGCAATCCAGGAAAGGTACCTACAGCATCAATATGGAATTACTGTATAACTTCTGAAAACTTTGTGGTGTATTACATGTTAGCACAGTAACAATTCTGGTTGCCATTACCAATGATAAAGGAATTGGATGAGTCAAGCCACGGTTTGCTTTACTTGAAATGCTATTCAACACATTCAAATAACGTCATACAAGTAATCACTGTGGTTTGAAACGTTTACTGCCAAACTGCAGAGAGAAAAATTGCAGCAGCTTGTCTTATGGCCCATTGACCATAAAATCCAATAAATACAAGTTCTATGTTTAATAACTTCTTCATGTCTTATGCCTAGCAGACTTTCTTTTTCCAATCACCTAACTACAACTTAACTGAACAGCAACAGTGAAAGGACCTCTGATATTTATGGCACACTGGAAACTTAGCACCAAGCCATTTTTACAGAACAAACTTCCTATATAGGACTTTGTTCGAAGTATACTACTTCTGATACTGCATTTCATGCAAACAATGGTATCTTAAAAGTTTGTCTTCTCTTATCAATCATCATGATTTCTATTGGCATTATATCAACAAGATGTTTGAAATCTTTTAAAGGATTTTTAGACACATTTACTTAACTTCTCTAAAGTACAAAGTTAACCATCTTGACTGGACCAGAACCTAGAACCGCTACTTTCCGATTGCAATATAAAAAGCTCTGTTATAAACTGTTAGTGTCCACCTAGCCAAACCCTATCCTAAGTTATACTCTACTTTATTAACTGTTACTAATAGTTACTACTAGCTTCAATCATGAGAATATCAGGGAGATAAAGGTCCAATAATATTGTAACTTTGGCTAGTCTGTATTTAAAAAGTCAGACTGTTAGGTTCCTGACAATCTCAGTCAGAAATGTAAGCAGCAAAGCAGAAAAGGAGCTTAACTCCCAGGCAAAAATTAACAGATAAATTGTACACCAGAAACCTTGAAGCTCCACAGAACATACATGCTGCCCAAATTCAGATTCTGAAACAACAGACTTGGGAAGCAGTGACCTCACCAGCTATTGTGTCTATTTGGAATTGTAGGTGGAATTATGCTTTGTTTGAAAATGGTAATTCTCCACTTAAAGACATTTTTAGAAACGCATGAAACAAACCCGATTATTAACATTTTGGTTTATTTATTTAAGTCTGTTGTGCTGAAAAATACTTCTAGGAAGAGAGCAGAAACTTTACGCTATACCCTGTAGGAGATGCCTAGTTGTATTCATCTGTTGAACAAAGCAGTTAAACCTCTTCCCCTCTCTCTCGGTGGCTGGGTTTGCACTGAGGGGATGACTGCCCTCTCACCTTGGGAAAGCAGGAGGCAGCCCTTACCTGGGCGATGTCTGGGCCGGCAGCGTGCCGCTGGCAGGGGCACTAGCACCCAGGTCATCGACAGGAGACGTGCACACCGGCTTGCTGGAGGCGAACTCCAAGGCATACTGCAGGACATCTACCAAGGGGAATCGTTTAGGACCAGAACCATAGCTTAAATATCTGTTAACCATAAAACGTATTAATGCCATGACTCACATATACAAAAAAAAAAGAAAAAAGAAAAAAAAAAGAAAAAAAAATGATTTTTTTTCCGGTTGACTGCAATTAAATAAAGCAAGCCCTTCCTAGCACGTTTCATGCAGCAGAACTACCGCACTTGTACACAGTTTCCCAGGAAAACGGTAAAAGAAAAGAGATACAGCAGGGAAATTTAGAGCAAATAACTACACACAAAGTGCATAGCTGAAAGGAGTTATTCCATGTAGCCCCTAATATTACTTGCGTTTACACTGGGAACAGTTATCTATAGTACCGTTCTAGTCTCTGCTGTAAAACCGTGAGGTACTCTTTGAGTCTCTTGATTTCATCCCGTTTAATTCTTGTTATTTCTCTGTTTTTGTGCATATACCTGTAAAACATGAAAGTTAGAAAAAGATGTCAGCCCACAGTATTCCAACACTGAAACTGAGGTCTGTACCCATCAGCCATGATGCTTAGCACTAAGAAAAACTGACCCTCTCTAGAGCCCTGTTTTACCTACAACACATTAAGCAGTAAAACAGAACTGAGAAGAAAATGGTAACTCCATTAAACCTCCCCTTCCACAACTTTCAGAAAATGCTTTATCCCTGGTGTCAAAAGCTCTGTTCATACCATGGATGTGTCTTATAAATCTATACAAACATATACTAGAAGGCTTCTAAATTAAGTGGCTTAAGTAGCAACGACGTAGCAATACTCCTGTTTCATTGTTTAGGCTCACAAATAACATTCAGCATGTAACTGAAAGCCAAGTATTTCACCTCTACATAGAAACAGCATGCACTGATGTTGAGAATCCTCTTCAATCCATGCAGTCTATCTGGAACACCATGAAATATCTGACTACTCACCCTCTTTCCCAAATGGACTCATAAACAGTGCGATTTTTCAGAGTATTTTGCCTGTGTACACAACTACCTAGCCATAAATTAAAGACTGAAGTGTAAGCAGGTTTCGGGACAAAGTAGCAATAGGTCTTAAATTGTTATCTATGTGTATTTTCTGAAACAGATGAAACCCATGAAAATTATAACTTGTCCAGCTAGAACAGAAATTTACTGTGAGTATAAGATGCACCAGCAACTTTACCAAACTCATGAGATTTAATTCATATTCATACTAGGACTTTGTTGATAATATTATACTGTACCTGTCCAGATACAAAATTGGAGGAAATTCTAATTTGTTGTGTATCTTCTCTGGTCTCCCCAAAGCCTGATTAAACTCAAATCTTGATAGCTCAAAAGTTAAGACAGGAGGAAGCTCAGTGAACCAGTGCTGAACAAAAGAAAAACAGAAAACCCCACAATGAATGCCTTCCAATAGCAGAACTTCAGTAATAATGTGACGATACCTGCAGACTGACATAGCTATGGGAGAAATTGGTTTTAGATGGTGCCATAAGCTTTCCAAAGTTCCCATTTTTCACCTTCACTGTAAACACAGAGCATTTGTCATCCATGCTGCATCAGAGCTTTTCAACTCATCTATCGCCATCTGCGTTAAAGCAGAGTAGGCAGGAAGGCTTCTTCCTTTCACATTTGTCTCGCTCGCACTAAAAGCGGCCTACGCTTGAACCTACCTGCCTTGCCAGCTGTCCTGTTCTCCTTTAACTCTCGAAGGCCACTGAAAGAGTTGTTTATACTGTATCAAGTGCTCTTCCCGCTAGTTGCCTCAGGCTCAAGTTTCTGACCCTTTCATTCACCTGATACCACACAAAGTTTCTAATGACCTTCTCTGATGCAGGATCAGCAAGTACTTTGGGCTGACAAGCTCTCTCAGCGCTGTAAAACTGATACTTTTTCTTGAAATCTCCTCTGTACTAAAAACCTCTCCTGAAGTTTCTGCTCATGCCTCTAATCACTGCTAACCCGTCCACAGACCAACCCATGTTATCATCACCTTATCCCAGCTTTCTTTGAGTATTCAGTAGAGGTCTGCCCTTAGTCCTCATTTTTTTCCTTACATACTTCACTTTTCAACTACAAGACAAATTCAGCTCCAATTCCAGCATTAGAGTCCCTTTTTCTCTCCACTCTGCAAGATAAAAAACAGTCTATCCATTCAATATGTTTTGGATGTCTAACCATCAACTCAAGCTTCCCTGATTGCTGCAGACACCATTGCCACACATTTCTGACATCAATGCCCACAGTCCGGATGTGGCATTTGACTCAGGGCTCGCTTCAAGTTCTCCTGTCCAGCCAAATGTCTTGAATAGTCTTTTCATACAATACCTCCAAGAAAGCTTTTTCTTCTTGTGCTCATGGGTAAAACTGAGGTCTAGGTTCTCATCACTCCACATCTCAGTGCAATGTTTCCTCTCTTCTCCCCTTGCCTGGCCTTAGCGCACGTAGCCTTGTCACACTAACAGATTTCCAGGATGTTGCTGAATTTCCCTAGTTCATCGCGTTCAGCATCACTCCTCACAACCGTTTACATGCAAAACGAGATGCCTTCCCTTTTCTATGGAGGCCTATGTCAGCCTCCACTAACCACCTTTTCAGTTTTAAAGGCGACAATCATGACCTCTCTTGCAGCAACTTCACACAGCAGTAAATTTCAATGCTAAAGTCAGCAAAGCCACACAACAACCCCTCCTCCTAAAAACCTTCTATTGCAAGGCCCCCAAACCACTTAATGATGACTAAGCTGCTGATATGCTGAAGTTCATCAGCCATGATGCTGACAAACATTATCTAATTTTCCCCACACTTCTAACTCCAAGTATGTGCATTGACCTCCATCTTTAAGTTCCTTGGGACAGGGAATGTCTCTTTTTTTCTGTCCGTACATTAGCTCGCTTGCTGACAACCTACTCCTTGGCTGAGGCTTTTAGGCGTCATCGTCATCATAATAATAATAATAATAATGAACAACAAGCTAAATACCCTATTAGAGGCAACGGTGGGAACAAGGAAAAAAAAAAAAGAATGTTGCTTTCAGGATAAAATGGATCTTTCAACACATGCGACTACCACATTAATATTATTGTCTTTAAGCTTTGATATCTACCAGCTTGGACGAATGCCACTTGAAGTCTTTGCTCAGCAGAGACAGACTTCATCAAAACTACAAGAAATCCAGCTTCCTTCAGCACTTCCAAACCTTCCAGTACACTGTAACATCTTTGAGGCATTACATTTAAACATAACTACTAACAGCAGCAACCACTATAAATAAATTACTTCAGGTCAGGGAAATATAACCAATTTACTTGGCCGTGGTAATAATGCAGTAATGTTTTTCTAGATTAGGACTTAGCACGCTACCTTTCTTGTTTTGCCACTGTTGTCAATCTGTCATATGACTATTTCACTTCCATTTCCACATGCTAAGAAGCCAGGCTCATTAAAACCCTGACAGTTTCACAGAACTGTAAGCTCAATACTCTAGATCTGTACATGACTATCCTTCTGTTCCCCATAGTTTCCTGACATTACAGGTTAAAAACCTCAAAAACAAAACAAAAGAAAAAACCCAAGTTTGACATTTCTAGTCAAGCATTTATAACTGAACTGACATTTTATGCATGAATGCACACAGGTTTTAACTGCAAGACAACCTTCAGTCCATAAGATGAACAATTGTGCTCTTGTAGTAGGTACATACAAGATTTCACCTTGCATAAAGAAACTGAACTTTGGATTGTACCAAGATATTTATGAGATTTTTTTTCTTCCAGTTATACTTCAGGAAACATGCTCATTGTAAGAAGCCATTTCTACAAGTGCTGGAATAAAAAAAATTGAAACATCCTGTGAAAGAAGAACACACCGAGTAAGATGTGTAAATACATTTGAAAACACTTGTTAACGTCTGATTTGGTTGATAAATATTTGGTCGATAAATATTTGGTCAACAACAGCTGACCAGAAAAAGGGACTGCAAAAGGGATGCTGTAAAACAACTGCTGATAACACGAAATTGGAAATACAACTTCAGACTGGAGGATGATTTCAGTGTGCATCACTAGGCTTAGTAATTAAACCCTGTATGTGTGTTGATATGATTAAAGGAAGCAAAATTTCATTACTACAAAAGATTGACGTCAAGGAAGAACCTATACCTGAACTTTTTACTTAAGTAGAAGAAACCTCCTAAGATTTCACATCTTTAAAATAACTGTGATGAAGCATGAACAACTGTGTAAAGAGAAAGTAGCTCAGCCTTTACAGGCAACAGGTATTCCTGTATTTCCACATCAATAACCCACAGGTTCTTAGAGAGAGCCCTGCCAGAGGAAAAAATGCTGGGCATATACATGCATGCCAGCAAGAGGAGGGGACATTTCAGAGCACACCCTCTTGGTTCTACAACCACCATTGGTCCAACCACCTCTTTTCCCTAACTTGTGACTTCTGCACAAGAAATCTCATTCATCGCCTCATCCCAACACCATACCCTGCATACCCCACTTCTTAGTGAGGCTCCATCTGAATCCCTCCACCCATGCCTCCACCATGCTCTGACATTTGGCAGCCTCCTGCTCTAGCAAGAGCTCTCCTGAGAGGAACAGCAGCCCAGAAAGCAAGTATTGTCTGTCCACCACCACGAGCAAAGAGAAGAATTGCCCACCGTAGAGGGCAAAGAAGAGGATGCTGGGAAACGGTAGTTGGGAAGAAGGCTAGGGTGCTGAGGAATTACAAGGCAGCGGCACAGAGGAGTAACAACAATGCTCTAAAGCAATGGTCAAACACACAGCTTGCGTATGCTGTTTACAGCATAGCACAGGACAGCAAGTCAGTCAGAGCAGCCATCAGCTACCACAGGACATTATACCCATGACCTGCCTGGAGATCAAATATCAGCAACAGGTGGGAACCAGCCTGTGCCAAATCACTGTAAGCACTTAATTGTGCCAGCTTTTAATAAGTATGAACTTCATATCTTATGAAAAATACAAAAAGACGATACTCTGGATACTCCAAAAGAGATACAAACCCCAAATTAACAATCCTATTACCAGACATCAGAACCTGCACAGCAGCAGGTCACATAAACAACCATGAACCCCAATGAAAAATAAAGAGCACTACAACAACACCCTGAGAGAAGCCCACAGGAGCACTTAACTCACCTCCTGACCAGACTTTGCAGAGTTTTCTGAATGGAGAGATTCTATTTCCCCTTCAATCATTGCAGCTTCTAGGCACTCATGCAGATCTTTAAAGCCATTAACCTGGAGTGGATACTGGCCAAACATTTCTGTGTTTTCAAATTTTTTACCTTCACATAAGAAATTAAACAGTTCAGGTTTTAGGAACAAACATTCACCTTTAAAAAAACCTAACAATCCTAGGTCACCTGACATAGTCTACTGAACAATACCCACATTTTCTTATTGAACAATTCAATTATATGTATGAAAACAAGTTACTCTAAAAAGCTGCTTGAATGTAATATTGAAAATTACTGTACTTTACTCTTCAGCCCATTTTTTATATTGTTTTTGCAACTATTGGTAATAAGCAAAACTCAAAATGGCTTGGCACCACAGATGTATGGGAAGTTTTACACATATAAATCAAAGTCCTCCTCCTGCAAATAGCAGCTCAGTAATACAACCCTACATTGTATCAGCAAAGTCAATGGAATTGCTGGTATGAAACAGCCCTTTGTATAAGTACGTTTTGCAAAAATAAACCACAAAAGAGAACAGTCATGATTTTTGTCCTGAAAACAAGATCATAATTTGGAAACAGTGTATAAAGATGTAAGCTCAAACATGAGGAGAAATATGGGTGACAAGGGATTTCAACCTACAATTTCAATTCATTTCATCTTAAAGTCAGTAAGAAGTCTTCTTATATCCGCCAGTTTTTTTTCATTGGTTTGGTTTTTACATCTCCTCAGTTAAGATGAGAATGTGAGGGATGAAAGTACCCAAATGCAAAGGAGCAAGAATGCTAGCTAGTAGCAAGGAATCTGCAGAATGGTTTTGAAATCTGACAACAAATCATTAGATACACTGTTCCAGGCCAAGGAACAACCTGGAAGCCACTTTAAAGATTATAGCTGCTTCGTTCAAATGCATCTCATTCACTCTCGGGATGGGGGACAGAATCACAATATTAAAAATACTTTCACAACTGCTGGCCTCCTGGAAAGAGAGAACGCTGCAATTCTGCAGTTCTACTAATTATATGCAGATAAGATAAAGGGAAGCTTGTTGTACAGTCTCTTCCTCCTCTGTACTGTCTCCGACACTGCCCTTGAGCAGGTTTCCACTGACTTGTTTTCAACGAACTGTACTTTTAAGAGGGTGAGTTATCCATACCAGAAATTGTGCAGAAGAAAATGCAATAATTGAAATTTTAAATTGCATTAAATGAAGCAGAGAGAGTGTGGGAGACTAGCTCAATGAAATACAGTAATTTGCCTTCTGTATATATATATATATATA